AATGTGCACTTCAAGGCCCACAAAAAGTCCTGCGCGTGCCACAAACTCTGCACTCCAAGGCCCACAAAGTCCTGCACCTGCCACGAAATGTGCTTTGCAAGGTCCACAAAGTACTGCACCTGCCACGAAACACGAAAAACAAAAAAAGTTAAAAAAAAAACACGAAAAAAATCCAGAAATAAATTCGCAACCTAACCAAAACATGGGATGCCCGACATGCACCGGTCATTACACAGAGGATCTCAAAACAAGTTCTTGAGTGTGACGGTTGAAGGGGGCAAGATCACTGGCAACGTGCAGGCAAATAAGGTCAGTTTGATTCTGAAATAGTTTCTGCCCCGCCTCATGGCAGAGTTCAATATCATGCAAATTTTGGTTGGGGCTCAGGTTTGGGTTGAATTTCAACGCGCAACCATTTTCAACAAGGAGTTATGTTCCTGCAATGGAAAGCCCAAACACCATGTGTTTTGTCCAAAACATGCCCTCGATTGTGGTTGTTTTTGTGATTTGCTTGTCATGGCAGGGTGGGCGCGTGTGCCGTTTGCCCAGCGTTCACTTGCACGGGGATCGGTTGTCCTGCAGTAGCGCCCGGCCGAGTATATTGACAAAAGGTGTTGTTGCACTTTCGGCTCGAAACTTTAAGTGGCCAATTAAAGGTATATGTATTATATATGCCCACTACATACCGTGTGAAAATGGGGCAGTACCCCATCAAACCAATGAACCACCATGAGCCTTTTTTGGTTCCAAACTTCAATGTCCCTGATTGAGAAATGTTTGTAGGGGAATTAGCTGAATAATTTCGCTACTGCGTTTGCACCCAAGACAACTTAGAATTGACCAGCTCAATATCAAGCACGACAACAGTTTAGAGCGAGTGATGGCGCACGTCACGAAATGGACGGCCGCTGATGTTGCAGACTGGTTGGAGCAGTGCTTGCAGCTTCCATGCGGAGATGCGTTCCGCGAAGCGGCGCCTTTCCTTATAGACGTGCGTTTGTTGTGTGAGGTTTGCATGTTGAGCACTAAAGATATCATTCCAAAGGTTGCACCGTGCGAGCAGTTGTTGATCAGGACATTGACGGAGTGAAGTTGCTTCGACTGGACGCAGACCAGCTGTCAAAGTTGGGGTCAGGTGCAGATCACATCACTAGGTTGCAGACCCACATCTCTGCTTTTCGTGCCCAGCTGGGAAAGCATGGTCCTGCTGCCACTCGGTTAAAGTTTGGCTGAGATGTTTGGTCCTGAGATCCCAACAATACCGTTTGATCATTTTTGTTTGTTTGTGCTAGCAACGGCCAACACAGCCTGCTTCATGCTTTTTGGAGTTGGCAACGTGACGCCAAGGTCTTCTCAGTGGAAAGCACACGCAGTCGCTTCAGTGCCCAAGAAACTACACAGGATGCTGCCACTTGCTTTGCAAGAGTGCAGGTTTTGCAACAACGAAGTGTGTTTGGGGGTGTTGGGAGGATTGAAGGCTACCAAGGCACCTGGCACCATGTCCAGAGCAGCAACTGACCGACAGTGTTGTGAAACAAAGGCAGCCTCTTGGCTTTGGGGTTGAGAGTTCCTCTTGTTGCTGGTTGCAATCCCAGCCCCGCTTGTTGAAACGGTTTGTGATGCAGAGTGCTGGCATTCCAAGGGCGACTCTTGGAAGCCTGTTGGGCAAAGAAGAACCCAAAGTGCGGGAGCAGAAACTTGCCTGGCATTGCAAAGTGGCAGAAAACATCAGAAAACAGCATGTGAATTTCATTAATCATTACTGTAATGGGTGCAAATCAGAGCGCTCATGAAAGCCGCGCTGTTTGGATCGCAGAGGAATCAGGAAGCCGACAACACAGATCCAGCACAGGGACACCAAGACTTGGGAAAGGCACAGGATGTGGCACATTTAGTACCAAGAATGTCCAAGATGCAATGTTGTGTTCCACTTGGCGGAGATGTTTCTTTCACAAACAAGGGCGTCATTCAGCCCCTGCGGCGCTGTGAATGAGTTCGTGAGGCCACACTTCCAGACTTTGGGTGGAGACCAGAAAGCAGGAAGAAGACGTTTCTTCCAATAAGTGCAAAGCCATCACATCCACTCTTTCCATGGGAATCCTGTCTACCCCAGGATTCCCCATGCAGAGCCAAGGACGGCCAATTGCATCCAATTGCCGTTTGCAGATGCATTGACAGAAAATGTTTAAATGACGTTTTGGTCCCATATGTTGCGGCACTTGCAGTTCAAACCATTTGGATCAAATGTTGCTCTGTTTTCTTCAGGAGCTTAGAGAATTCTTTCAACAGGCCAGGCAGCTGGAGGAAGAGGCCCTGGCATCCTTGGCCAAACGACGCGGGCTGTGCTCAGCGGACTCAGTCGTCAAGAGAAGGGTGGCTTACTCAGCTGTGCAGCAAAGGGTTGAAAAATTGCGAGAAAGTTCCATTTGTTCATTTGTGGGAGCACAGCATTTCTGTCAGGGCAAAAAAAGTCCTTGGTTTCAAACTGAACAGTTGTTTGCCCTGCCAAGGCGCAATCAGCCTCGCATCCAGGGGTTCAAGGACGGTTCTTTTTCGTGCGAGTTTTGATCCAGCAATTTTCGATCAGAAGACATCCAATCACAAGCCAAGCATGATCTCATGATTCTCATGTGGGGTTTGGCATCACTGTGGAGAGGACAATCCCCAGGTTCCTGCCCAAAGCCTCGGATTGTGGCTTGGTTGACACTGGAACCCTCACTTGAGCCACGTCCATTTCCTTTGTCAAATTGACACTTGAAGAGATCACCCACTGTAAAAGAACCTGTTCATCCGATTCCCACATGATTTTATTGTTATTACTACTGCAAGAACTTGCAGGAATCCAATTTAGTTAATTGGCTTTGATTTTGGTAAGCTTGTTTGAATTGAAACCGCCAAGGAAGTCAACAGGCCTAGACCTGGCTCACGGACGTCTTGAGCTTATAAGACCATAGAAGACCTATTTTTTGTGCGTCAACTTTATTTCGTGTAGCTGTGTGCATGAAGTCCCGTGGCCAAGTGTGTTGCAAGGCCATCCTGTGGAAGAGCAAGCCCGGCAGGGAGCAAGACGCAGAAAGCAGTTGCAGCACATAACTCAGCGAGGATTTGTCTCATGTTTGTTTGTGCTTCTGTGCTTGGGAGGGAAGTGACACATCTTTCACAACATGTTGGTGAAGATTGAAGGCCGAATGGAGGGAGATGTTGGCTCGACCCTTTGACCGCATGCCTCGCGCCTCGTGCTTCTTTCAGCCGACCGGGGTTGGCAACACAAGGGGAACAAGACAAAGTGTCCACAAAGGCTTCGTGCCATTGCGGCAAGAGATTGGGTCAAGGCCTGTTGATACCCTGCACATTTCCTGGATTGTTGTGTGAGTTTGTTTTGGCAGGTTGGGAAGCAGAGCTAGCCCAACTCAACCACCGCCTCAGGAGAAGACACCAATCCCCCAGGCATGTGGGACATGTGTGAACGTGTTCCGGTAGTTCTACAGTAACTGGGATTACTTTTGCCATCCATTGTCCTCGCCAGGCATTCCAGACGGGGTTTCCTCAAAACTTCAAGAGTCTGAAGGAGGATAAGAGCCTGCAGGCTGGGGAAAGACCGCCTCACGGGCCTGGAGCCTTGCGGCCTGCGTTTAGCCTTAGGACCAATGCTTGCTCCAGACGTGGGTTTTCAAAAACGCCGACTTAAGCATACTTAAGGCATAAGTCCAAGAAAGCCCGCCGACCCTCAAGTTTCCCATGTTGATGTTGGCAGAGTGATGGCAACACTCAACAAGCGGTCGAGCATCGCTGACTGTTGGTGGGCCTGTCTACACAGGGCATTGCGGGGCTTTAAGTGTGAGACAGTTTGGACCGTTGTTCAGTGCTGGGTCATACTGTTGGTTGGCGAACCTCAGCTTCGCTGCCAGGAGCCCAAGCAAAAGAATTTTGAAAGCCTTGAAGGGAGCAAAGCGAGACGAACAGACAAGCAAAGCGTGAGAGAGGACCCTTGGCCGTAGACATACGAAAGGGGACCCCGACAAACATAAATTAAGGTCATCCTCCCAATCTTAGTTGTACTGGTATGTAACTGCAGTGGTGGAGGTGGTTGTGGTTGTGGTAGTGGTAGGCAGTGGTCGTAGGAGTAGTAGTAGTAGTAGTAGTAGTAGTCGTCGTCGTCGTCCTAGTAGTTGTGACAGGCGTAGTCACAGTCGTAGGCATAGCAGCAGCAGCAGCAGGAGGAGGAGGAGTAGTAGTAGTAGCAGCAGTCGCAGTAGTAATAAGTAGTGTAGGAATGTAGCAACGTCTAATTAAATTAGTAAAAGTGATTGTTACTTAGAACTTTAACTTTAACCTGTGGTTTGTTACTTAGACAGTCTTGCAGTGTTTGATGCGATGAGACCTGACAGAATCACATTCATCGTGGAGCCGGGTGGTTGTGGCAATGCCATCGGTAAAACCCAAGAAGGAGAGCATTTCCGTAAGTGTCCGGTTTGATGGACCACCACGGAACTCCAGCTCAATGCAGATGGTCAGTTTAAATTGTCCATATCCCAGCCGTAGATTCCTAAGGTTATAAGTTTCGATGACATTCATTGATGTTTCTTTTGAACGGTCATGCTCAGAACTCAGAACATTGAGTTTGCCACTGAATGTTTCTCAGATTTGCTCTCGTCATCGTGATGCCATGTCTATATACATATATATATATATTGAGAGAGAGAGAGAGATGAATTGGTAGTACACTGCGAATCTACTGAGACGGCAGGAGCATGTGTTCAGCGTGCTCGAGGAAATGTCTCAAGGGCTTGACGGCTCAGAGATGCAGGCTTCCCAAGATGAAATAGAGGCTGGATGGACCTGTGCGGTTGCTGCACTCTGAGTTTAGAATGCTTCTTCTGAATCTTCCTGACATTTGTAGGAAGCCTGGCGTCGTCCTGTCTCGGTGCTTCTGGCTATGTTTGGTTTGTCACATGTGGCAGCAAAACACCAACAGTGGTAACAGCAAAGCTTGTTTGCTCCAAGCTCAAGCAGTTTCCAGGCCATCGAGTTCCATTTGCCGAGCCCCTTGTGTGTTTTTCCTTGCCATGGCGATGCCACAGCATGTGTTCCATCGACACGCAGGGCCATGGCATTTGGTTGATGTAAAGTCATCTATTCCAACTGCGATGGGAGAGATCAAGAAACAGCTTGTGCAACATTCAAATGTGCTTGCTTTGGATATGGAATGGGTTCCTGACAGAAGCAAGCACCAGAATAACCCTGTTGCCTTACTACAGCTGGCCATTGGAGACGCAGTTTGGTTGGTACGCACATGTGTGCCGAAATCCTGTTTGGTCGCCACAGCTTTGCCGAGGGAACTTCGAGAGATCTTAATGGACCGATCTGTGACGAAGCTAGTAGTTTCCTTTGACTCAGCAGACGCCCAAAAGCTGCAGACTTCCTTTGGCCTTGCCAACTTGGAAGGCATTCTGGACATCTCCAAGCTAGCTCAAAAGCTACAGCTCGCAGGCTGTGGTTTGAAGAAGATAGCACAACATTATGGCCTTCGTATTGAGAAGGATCGGGACATCAGCATCTCTAACTGGGCCGCAGCAACCTTGTCCGAGCGGCAAGTGCAGTACGCCCGGGACGATGCTTTCTTCACCTTGCATCTTGCGACATCTTTGCTTCGCGACGTCCTCAAAACGACGAGGTCGGTCAAGGTCAACGATACGGCGACCGATGCGCCGAAAGTCTTAGAAGCGTTAGAGAGATCCTGGCAAGTCATTGATGGAGCTGTAGGTGTGGAGGACACCGAAGCGCGTGACTTGGCATTGGAGTGTTTTGTCTCGGAGCTACATGCAGTGCTGTTGGCCCATGGCCCTGTGCAATTCGAAAAGATGCGAAGGCTCCAGGATCTTCAAGGAGTGGCCTTCCAGCAGCGGGCCCGCAACTTGCGGTTTCGTCTTAGCAAGGATTTCATCAAGGACTACAAAGGTCGTTTCAAGGTGACCAAATCGGATGTGGTCGCTGCACGCAGCCCCTTTGAGCTGGCACCCTTCAGCCAAAAGGAAGAGGAGATCTGTTGGATGGATGACGATGCGCTGGACCGCTGGAAAGAACTCATGACTGCTGGAAGTGGCTTTATCCAGGAATCAGAGTTGACAGGGCGCCTAGGTCTACTGGGACAACATTTAAGAGGTATGGATCGACAAGTTGAAGCGAAGAGGATTGATCGAGCTTTGTCTCTAACCAAGCAGCTTCAACCAACAGTGCTGCCGTCCCCCTCAAAATTACCAGAGGCGACCTTTTCCGAGCAGCGGCACCAGCAGCATGATGTGCCACGCACAATCTTCGCACAAGAACTTCCCCAAAGGTTGGAGATCCCCCAACTCTGCGAAAAGATTCGGACATCCCTGGAGTTGCCACTGGAACGAATCAAGCTGTTTCGCTCCAAGAATGGCTACCCAAACCGAGGCTTTGGTTTCCTGGTCTTCCGCAGCGGCGCAGATGCGCAAGAAGCTTTGCGAAAAGGGATGCACATAGATGGACACTTAGCTGTGCTGCAGCCACACGCACAGCCCCAAGGCTGCTGAAATCGTGCTGAGGTGTTGTTGGCAAGTCATCGATTTGTCAGCAGAATTCAGCCGACCACTGAAGCATCCAATTGCACAGGGACAGGGACATGTACAGTCGAGCCCTTAAAATGTCCATGAATTTGGATGTGTCCGGAAAGCATCAGGTGATTCTGGGTCCTGGTTGATTTGTAGCCATGTCCAATCCCGTTTGAAAGACTGTGATCAAGCCGTGAAACGCCAAAATTGAGAAGTGTTGTCACACGGCCGTAGTGTTGCCAGTGTATGCTGAAGAATTTGTCATGTGTTTTGGGCAGTCGCAGATGCAGAGGCTAATCTTTTGAACGCTGGTTCACTCAACGGCCAGGAATTTCCAACCATGCTGGGACTCAGCTACGAGTTGGTCTAACAGCGTAAGGTCTTTGTAGCTTTGAGAAGCTACCCAGAGATCCCAGAGGACAGTGGGTAGCGCCACAGCTTCAGTATATAACTAAGCTGCTTCTCGAGGTCGGTGACAGATTCGGCAGCCACCACCCACGCAGCTCAGGAAGAGGTATTGAAGCACAATAGCCAATGCTCCAACCACGTTGCAATGATTTTGAATATTTATGAATCTGTTTGCGCATAGCAGTTGTTTTTTTGGTACAATGTCAGAAGGCACTTGGAACTGCGACAACGCAAACTCCGACATCCTTTTCCGGCACCTGCAGCCCTAGCAAAGTGTCAAACTCCCTGCAGGCCTGGCTCTTTTTTGACATAGTTTTACCATTGATGTTGGATGATTGTTCGAATGTGTTGTGCAATGTCAGGTGCTTCAAGGTCTAAAGTCTAAATCTTGTGTTTCTTAATTGCCGGCTAGACCTGCCCTTCGAGGAGCCCACAGAGAAGAAAGTCGAAGGTGGAGGAAAGTCGAGCGAGAGAATCGTTGAGGAAGGCATGGTGGTTGATTTGTGACTGCTGTCGTAGAGTTGTTAGAGTTGTTAGAATGCTGGCAAGACACTCCAAGATTTGAGATCAATGACATTGGTCACTAGTCATGAGGTAACTTTTCTTGTTGGAGAAGCCTGCTGATGCAAGACACTCCTCGCGTAGAGCCGGGCAAATGCCTTCCAAAAACATCCGAAAAGCGATTTTGCATTGGAAAGATCGCATCACAACTTGAGCATCCTTATCAACAATTGCACTCCGCTTGGCATTGGCTGTGCTGGCTCAAGGTGAGGCGCAATGGAAGCGAATGATTGCATTGCTGGCATTGAAAACCCTGAGGCATCCAAGCATCAAATAATTGGGAGAAGCTGCTTGCTTGTTGACATCAAAGTTTCATAACAATGACAATGTATTGCAATGGCCCCGTGCATGCATGGTGCCGTACTTAGCTCCAGCCACGTTCGACATTGTTGAAATATTACAAATGCCCCCAGTGATCCCTCCAGGCGCGGAAGGCGTGGAACGGTGCTAGTAGTTTTGGCGACGGCTTCGGCCTGGTCTCTACTGTGGCGAACTTACTGTCCCAAATGCTTGCTTTCAGAGCACCATTTTGATAAAGGCACGTCATTGTAACACTAGTTGAATCTAATTCAGGTCACAATGCCGATCCAACATGTGTTGAAGGTGACTGAAAGGTCATGGTGCACATTGTAGCTTGCTGCATGGGTTCCTTTGATGTTCATGGCAGGTTGCACCTTTGCTGTGCCACAAGCACGAGGAAAGCTGCTGGATGCAACCGGCACTGATGCCAGGGGCATGGAAGAACTTGATTTTGCCGGAACATCTCGTGACAGCAAATCCGCCAGGTGTATGCGCATGGCGCAGAGTTGGGCATGCAGGATTTTGAACCATCAGCCAATCTGGACAACGAATGCCACAGATTAGAAGCCACAGCAGCTATTGTTTGCCATGCATTCTGCCACAGCATGCCACAGCATCATCACCATGACTCACATTGATGATCAACACTCGTCACACTTGTTGCGCTTGTTTTCGATGAGGAGCCAAAATTCTCAAGTCGCACTTCGTTTGTTGCAGCTGGTGCCCTCCTTGCAGCTACCACAGCAAGTGCCTCAACCTCAGGAAGACACCGTTGCTACTCAAGTGTGCACATGAACACACAATTGAATCCTTAATTGCAAATCGAATGATGTGCACCTGTTAATGGGCGATTTCAATGGTAACCACTTACACCCCTTGCACGAGTGCTTTCCTGCAGTCACCAAGCTGCTTCAAAACTTGTTCTATCAGCCCAAACTGCACACCGCAGACATCATTGTGTCACACGAGTCCTTATATATATATAAGTGTTGTCACCAATGTCGCTAGTAGCGCACAATTCCAGTCTCTACATGATGTTTTTCCTTGGACCTCATGCATTCCACATTGCAGCCGAAGAATTGGGGCAGGCTTTGCGCCTCAGGAGAAAAGCCTCAGGAGAAAAGGAACGTTGACTTGTGGCTGCCAATGTAGCGCCACATGCTCCAATACAAGAGATGATGGCAACCAAGCAGGCACCACGAAGAACAGGACCCATGATCCTTCTTCCTGGGAATCTGACTAAAGTGCGTGATACTCAAAAATGCCCACAGGCAATAACAAGGAATGCTAGTGGCATTCAACAGTTTCCAGAGGTCTCCAGCCTAATCGATGTGCCCTTCCTTCGTTACGCCACGACCAACGATTTGCCCGAATGCGTAGCACAGCGACATGACCGCCCAAGGATGATTTACGTGTGTTTCGTCCGCCGGGATTGGGATTGGGATGGGCCTTTTGGAGGTATTGAGTGATTCTGTGCCTGTTGGATTTACTCTTTGAGCTTTCCTCGAAGCTGTGTTTTGGTGTCGAGTTTTTGAGGGATGCGGGTGAAGCAGCGAAGTGCCGAAATCATTCCAAACGTGCGGTGGGGTGCAAATGTTGCAAGACATCTCGAGGCAGTGTGCAGCTGAGACTATGACATAGTACGACATAGTCACTTGTCGCGGGCCTGCCGCAGTGCTTGTGTTTTCTGTGTGTTGGAGGCAGCTGGAGGTGCGGGAAGGCACTTTGCATTGCCGATTGTGGGCTCGCGACGTTTGGTACAGCCGTTTGTTGCTGTGCCCTCGGGATTGGCATGTCAGCAGGCTTTGTTCCGAGGGATTTGGGTTGCAAAACTGCTTGGAGCGTGCACGGCTGCGGGGTGTGTTCGCTCTGATGAGACCTCCAGGCTCACATTTGGAGGAAGTCTTGTGCAAAACGCTCGGTTTGGAGACTTGACACATGACTTTTGGAGGGATTCTTGTACAAAACGCCTGCTACCACTCTTGCACAAGAAGTGTCCGCAAAAGTGCCCCACAAGAGTGTCCTACAAGAGCGCCGCACTCGTGTCTCACAAGAGTGTTCATTTAGTGTCTCGTTTTGCAATTTGGCTTGTTCGATCATGAAGTTGAGCCCGGGCTGACATCATCAAAAAACATCAAGAAAAACTAGTGGTTTGACCGTCGACCCCTGCGTGCCGCCACGGCCAATGGAATGGAAGGTGGAGAGGCTGAAGCTCCAGCATCGAATGCATTGGCCTGAACTGATGTCACAAAAGCTAGCCGTTTCGCTGTGCTTTTGGTTTTCTATTACATTCCGGTGTGGGAACCAGACCAAAACTTGTATTATATTAAAGGCATGGTAGTTTATTATGGTATGTTTCTTCGTATATATATATATACCAATCTATGTCATGCTCAGGGCCGCGGAATCATCAGAGACAGAAGCGGCACCACCAAAACCAAAGAAGGCACAATATGGGATAGTTTGCTTATGTTTGGATGGTCAGATTCTGCATTTGACTCTGGCACGAGCAGGTGCGAATTACAGCATTTGACTCTATACGGTTTTTCCTGATTGCCTACATCGTGTTGAGCGCCAAGCAACCAGCCACGCATATACTGGGTTAGTCGTTCCAATTTTTTTGAGGTGTGGACATTTCATCACGTTCGCGGCTCCGGGCCCTTTTGCACTTAAAGCCTGGGACTCGATGAAACGTCTTCTTAAGTTTGTTTTTATTTATTGTTCAACGGCATGGAAGGCGATCTCGCAGATCAACGTGGTTGTTATGGGCCCAGAACCATACAAGGGATACAAGTGTGCCATGTTGACCTTGCATTTTGCGCATGCAGAACTACTTGGCACAGGTGGGAGGACACCAAGACACGAACCAAAATTTAGAATCTTTCGTTCAGGTTGGGGCATTCTTCGCATTAAGTGGCTATGTGGCGGCATACACCACCACGGAAAATGCTGAGCGGGCTGCGAGCCCCAAGTTGCTCAACACGCTCAAAGCTAAGCTTTGGTGCAGCAAGTTTGTCGCTGCAGGGGAGTGCATTTTATCACGTTCACTGGGTGTTATCCCATTCACCAAATTTTGGCCGGCCTGCAATTGGGACCACATGTGCCGGATCAAGCCACCATCATTCCATGTGATGGATGAACAGCATTCGGAACCTGGCCCAAGTATTACGAGCAAACTGACACAATTGAAATGTGGGTGTCAGAAAACTAGAGGACCAATTTAGGCCTAACCGTCCAACCCAAATGCAGAATACTTCAGCCGAACGGTTACCAGATAAACCATGATAAACCAAACCAGTACAAAAGGCTCCAAATACCTAGTAGCGATACGAGTTTCACCAGTGCCAAAGGCACTCTTTTGGTCTCGAGACCGAGCGATCGAGGCTGGAACACTAGTAGCGATGCCCTTGTTATCACTAGTAGCGTCCTTGCTACTACTAGCGTCCTTGTTACTACTAGTAAGGCACTTGTTACTAGTAGCGATGCACTTGTTTCTACTAGCTTCTTGTTCCTAGCAGTAAGGCCAAGAGCCCCTAGTAGCATCCTTGCTCCTAGTAGCGATGCCCTTTGCTCCTAGTAGCGTCCTTGTTCCTACTAGGCCTTTCAAGTTAGCGATGTTTGAAGGCAGTGATTTCCCTGTCAGGAGATGGGCTGCAGTGCCAGTTGCAAAAGTTGTAGCGGGCAAGACTACTACGCAGCAGTGGACATCCAGAATGAAGGGGGTGAAGAAGATTCTGAGAACGATGATGCGGATCCTGCAGAGCTCTTCAAGGTTCAGAGTTCGGGGAAGTTTGATGTAAACCGTTCGTGCGCATCTCCTTCTCCATGAGTTTCTCGGAATGCCGGTTCAATCGCCCTGCCCTGCAAAGGATAAAGCTTCACGCACGCTTCACTTGAGGAGTGGCACCATGATGTCACTGTCCTTAAAATCTGAAGCA